TTTACATATAAAGGCTACCCAATGGTGAGGAAGAGACAGAAATTGGACAAATACTCATAGGTGTAAAAATTACATCTACCTTTGAGCTCTATACTGTAAATGAGACATTTTAAATAGTCCTTTAGCCCATGCCTATTTTTTCCTCAGAAAAAGAAAAGCTGCCTTCATGACATCCCCTCTTGTTTCCTATTTCCACAGTGTCAATTGAAGCTTCAGAGTCAGATCTTACTTTCTTCAAAAAATAAAGAAAATACCCACTTTCTATTTTTTTGGATCAATGCTATTAATATTCACTCACTTTCCCCTTCATCTTTTTTTCCCAGTATGAATACACTATATAATAGTTCACTCAAAGATATTACCATACACATTATTATCAACAGGTAATTTCCCATTTTTGTGTCCCTTAAATGTTTTCCTTCATTCTTTTTCATTTTGATTCTCTCCCTCTCATTCTCCCCCATTTTTTAAATTTCAAATTTAGGTAATGCTTATCTCACTAAATGAGTTGGTAAATTTTCTGTATTGTGTTTTCTGGAAGAGATGTATAGATTTGTATTCATGTCTTCCTTAAATGTTTAGTAAAAGTCACCAGTGAAAATGTTTGAACTTGGAGTTCTATTTTGGAAGAATATTAACTGCACATTTAATTTCTCTCTCTTATTTAAAACTTTTAAAATTTTATTTTCAAATTAATTTGCATTCTACATAAAGTCTCCATAATGATGTATACAATTTTTTGTCTTTTTTTGTGTGTGTGTGAGAAGTTTTTTCTATAGGGTATGTGCGCTTTGTCTTTTTAAAAAATTATTTTTATTATTTCTTAAAATGTTAAATAATTGCAGAGATACTATATTTCTTGCTTTGTGTCTCTCTCTCTGTGTCTCTCTTTAAAAAAGATGGTATAATGACATTCTTTTGTCTTTTTTTATTCATTTTAGCTTGAAGTCTATATTGTCAGATATAAGTATTGTGACTCTTTTTTGATTTCTAGTTGCATGAAATGACCTTTTCAAGCCTTTAAGTTTCAATCTCTGTATTTCTTTATCAATGAAATGTCTTTCTTGTAAGTGGAGATCTTGACCAATTAAATGTCTTTCTTGTAATGGGAGTAGAGGGCCCCTTTTAAAAAATCTTTTCAGCCACTCTGAAACTATCACTGCTATATCATTTCAGAACACTCTTATCACCATGAAATGTCCTTCCATAACCATTACAGAGTCATTTCGCTCACCTCTGCCCAAGGTAATTCTTAGTCTACTTTCCATTTCTATGAAAGTGCTTATTAGGAACTTCTATTTATTTATTTGTCTATGTGTGTGTTTTGCATTTTACTTCTTTTTTTCTCCCTTGCTTCCTCTCCTTCTCACCATCTGCCATTTCCCATTCTCCTTCAACATGGTCTCTGCTGTCCACATTTGCTCTCCATGCTTTTATGCCATACGATATTGCAGTTTCTGTCACAGAGTGCAGACGCTTAGTATAAATTAAGTGGGAATATAAAATGTCTCCCTTTTATAGTCTGGCTTGCTTTGCTTAGCAGTAAATCTTCCTTATTTCACATCAATGGAATCATACAATACATGAGCCTTGCTTTCTGGTTTTCTTCGGTAGTACAATAGTTTAAAATTCTGTCCACCTAGAATAGCACATTTCAGTACTTCTCTCATATTTATGGCTACATCATATCCCATTCTTTGTGTGTGTGTGTGTGTGTGTGTGTATGTG